TGAGTAAGTACTATGTGAAATGTCTTGAATTTAGATAGTAAAATTGACAAGAGCGAGGCAGAAGTGACGAGAAAACACGGCATAATGGCAAGAGATCCGCTTCGCGTAGCAGAGAGAGGTCGAGCCGCAAATCGTCCAAGTCTAAAGGTTTACTAATTCAAGCTAAAGTGAAGTGCCGACTGAAATGTTTCTCTTGAAATCGAATTCAGGTGAGAAACGTCGCAGAGAAGAATCACCAGGGGATACTAGTAGGACTGACAAGAAAAGAAAACCAAATAACACAGATAGTGGCAACAACAATACGTCTAAGATGAATACAGGTCAGTCATCAAGGGGCTGTCTTAGGATTTAAGAATGTTTCGTTTTCCCTTATTTTTCTTCTCATGTGACAGTTGTTGATAGCTTAGTTCCACATGGTTCATTTGCGATGGATCTTATCAAGAGACCTTGTTTCTGGAAAAAGTATCAGCCCGATAGATGAGTAAATTCTCTGTCGTAGCAGCGAAACTAGATACGGTGTTGGCGACCGCGTTTGTTCTTCACGAAAGGGGCAAGCGAAAGGTTAGAATAGTAGAAGAATGGGCAAAGGAACCTTGGGCATCGATCTATCAGATTGGATAAAGATAAAATTCACAGAAAATGAATGTAGTAGAAGCTCCCTCTCTTTCTTGTTCTCCTAGTTGGCCAAATCAGTAGTACTTCCTTTCGGCGCCCGTGGTCTACTATGAACGTGGTTGTAGTACGATTTGTAGTGCTTTCTGAAGATTCTGACCTGCTCCTCCACTACTGTCTTTTCTTGGTTTGTGAAAGTGTTGCTAATTGCTCTAAATTCAAAAAGGACTGATTGTAGAAAGGCATTGACCGGTTTCTTTTTTTCATAATAATGCATGCCGTGCTATGTTCCCTATCAGCAACAAGTGGTCGCCTAGTTACTATTAGGCTGCATCCATACTTTGCGCCAGCGCACAGCAGCGTTTCGAGCGACTAGGAAAGTATAGATGTCGATCTAGCGTTCCAGCATACGCTCAGCGTTCACTAGGAAGTGGAGGTATGGAGAAGTAGCAGGGTAGTAGACTGCTGGATTAGGCGTGGTGAAAGGCATGTGCAACCCCACCGTACAACTGCTAAAACACAGAATTATGCAATCTTTGAAAGCAATGCAACCTGTAAATCAGATGTGCGGTGTTAGTTGTATGGTGCGGGTGCACACACCGCAGTTTCACGACGCCTAATCTGTTAGCCTGCTACCCTCCTATATCCCCATGCTCTCCACTCCTAGTGGACGCTGGCGTAGCTTGATTGCTTGATCGATATCTATACTCTCCTTGTGGCTGGATACGTTGTTGTATGCTGGCAGACGCTGGCGCAAGCTGGATTGATACCCCATACTTTCCCAATAGCTGGCGCTGGCGTACGCTCGAAACGCTGGCGTAAGCTGACTCAAAGTATGAACGCAGCCTTAGCACGGCACCTTGAATACTGCAGGATATAAAGGCCTGAAAAGACTTACAGTGCTTGAAGTCTCATTTGCGACCATTGAGTTGGTGGCGACTCATTACCATCGTGCTTTTATAAATGGTGCTCCCCATGTCTTCTCCGCATTGCAAAGAGAGAGCATGAGTAAAGAAGGCATAATGCTCACGAGTCTCCTACCTTTTGTTCTTCTCTCTAAGATTGTGTCCTGAATGAATCCGTAATCGAAGTTATTTCTACGACTCTTCGAAGGGTATTTTTCAGACGTGAATCCAACTACCGCATTTACAGAAACTAATCAAACATCAAAGAACAACGACGGCAGCACAGCTGCAAACAGCATCTTCAAAAACCGACAAGGTATGACGTTTGTAGGAGGACTGTGATTAATTGTATAGGATGATTGTTTATCTTAGTTCTTCTTAGTATTGCTTTGATCTCGAAAATGAGAACGAGAATGAGTAACTGCGCCATACACACACACACGCATATACACATACACCCACAAAATAGGGAACGAAGCCGCACGAAAAGCGGAAGATGCGGGTTTGAATCCCGTCCGTGATCCGACTTTTGCACACAACCCAGCACTCTTGCGATAATATAGAATACCTGTGAAGCATACTTATCATTAATAACACTTTTCAGATGAATAGCCTTCTGAACCGGATGAAGAAAAAGCTGTCAGTACAGTCCCTGCATATAAAATGATTTTATGAGTCGTCTTCTTCATCAGCTTTAGAGCGCTTCTCAATCCATATGCGTGAAGGTCTTATTTATCAAATTACTTCAGCAGTGACTATTGCTTCTATCCGCGTACTTGTTCTGTCGTATTCCTCGTTGAGTTATCTGCCCCTCCTACAAATCCGTGATATTTTCTGTAGCTGGTCATCATCAGTGTACTTGCCAAAGTAGGGTATTTGTGCAGCCTTGTTCACTGCGGACGGTGGGGCGTCTTAGCGCGGTCGAGTTTGGCATGATGCCAAAGCTTTTTCTTTCCGCAAGCGACACAGCTGTATCGTGTCGTTCGTTTTCCACCAGTTGTTGTCCTTTACGTGCTTCGGCTAATGCCGATTGGACGCGCTCGATTTTGGCTCCTGGCTCATTTATGAAGTGCCTAGGTCACCTAATCCGATGAAAACTTGTATATAGGGGTAATTTAACATCCTGATTACGAATATGACATTCATTTTTGGCGCTGGCGCTAATGGAGGACACTACGATTATGTTCTAGGGCTCAGCCTTAGCAGAGCGCAGATAATCGTGGTGTTCTCCATTAGCGCCAGCGCCAAGAATGAATGTCATATTCGTAATCAGGATGTTAAATTACCCCTGTATACAAGTTTTCATCGGATTTGGTGACTTTTGCACTTCAAAAATGAGCCAGGAGCCAAAATTGAGCGCGTCCAAACGACATCAGTCACGTGCTTCATCTGGTTGAGAGCGGGCTGGTGGCGATCCAAATGAAGCAGCTCTGACACGCCCCATCTCTGCAGCGAACAAGGCTGTACATTTTTCAGTGAACTATTTATAATAGTTCTTTCCACTGCAAATTTGTCGCTTTAGAAACCACACTCCCTGATTGTAAATCGCCACGTTTAGACCGCGGCATCACTTGCGAACCAGCCTATCCTTGCTAGTTGACTCAACCCCTTAAGATGGAGGCCATGGCAACATGCATTCCACTTCACCGTTGTATCCACAGTTGCGACTGCGTTGAACTGTGTATGCCGAGAGGCTACGTGACTCCACGCTTACTTTTATTCGTAACTCGTCGTGCATTCGCAAGGGGGAAACGGGTGCGTGACAGATTAGTCCTAATAAGCCGCGTTGGTTGGCGTGGCTAGCGACTCCGGCGGACGTGGTGTTCACTTGGCCGGTTCCAATTTTAGTGTCAAAGCGACGAGAAAATTCCAAATCTCCCATCGCTGGAGTTTTTTTTCTCCTCTTGAACATCTATGAGTCTCGCTGCATCCATCGACAAACTTATTGAGAATGGGCTGCACATCGCTGCAAGATACCCCGCGCGACAAATTGTGGTCCTTGTCCGTCTCCCATGGAAAACAATGGCGTTGTGGAACGTAGGCTGCTATGCAGGTTGATTTAGCTAGCACGGATAGGCGCTGGTTCGCGCGCGATGTGGTGAACTAGACCCACCTATTCGTGTACGTAGATACTTCATTTCGTGGACGTTTCGTAAACCTAGTTATTTTGGGTTCCACTATTCCCATGGGGTTTGCCTCGGGTGTTAATCCCGGTCCAAACCGGACCCTCAGGCCTGACAGCTTACAAGTATCATGAATGCGCGTAGCCACTATCAGTGTTATTGTAGAATAGTCATCCTCACGCGACAGGCAAGTCATTTACGGGAACCAACGTCGCTTTCACGAGGTTTGACTTTTTGAACAGTAAACGTGATTAAGCAAATCAGACAGGAGTGAGATCAGATCTTCTGCCTATGATTCTTTTTTTTATCTAAACCCACACAGAGTTTTCGAAGGACTCAGGCAGCGCCTTCCACAGATTACGCGGACAGAGGAAGGCCGTTTCCCTCTGTCCTCCACTCCCCAACTACCTTGGGCAACGTTCAAACTTCGCGATGCCACAGCGCTCCAGTGGTATAGACGCGAACGCGGTCGCAGACGGAAACTATCGGGACCGATCTCTTGTGTTTCGATAGAGTATAGGACCCTGCCCTTCCGTTATCCTATAGAAGGGGGGGGGGAGGTGTTGCCTTCACACAATCTAGTCTCTCCCGTTCTTCCACATTCCTTCAAAATACAAATACAAGTGCCCTGAGGCGATCGATTCCTGTCTCCGGCCGCATTCGCGTCCATAGGACTGGAGCGCTGTCGCAAAAGTAGGGCGTCGAAACGTGTCGTCGTGAAGTCTGAATGCTGCCTTTGACCAGTTTGTGACCATCGGCTGCACTTGGAGTACCTCGAAGGTTGTACCAAGGATACAATAAATTTGATAATCAGAGCTTTCTTCCCTGCGTATAAGCTTTCCGCACCTCAACCCATCCAGACCGACGTCTGCGCCCGCTCCTTTAATATGAGTTGACTAGCCCCCTCGCTCGCATGAAGCGGCGCTGCTCCCGTTCCTCCTCCCCCATATACACTGAAAGATGGGTTTCTTATTGTGATTGTGAACTACTCAACAACTTTGGTTTGCGATAGTTGCATTTATTTGACTTTATGACCCCTACCCTTCTCGAGTTTTGTAGTGTGGCTATATTTTTTAGCGTATTAATTCATTTATTTTCTGTTATTATATTATGTAGTGTCATTCAGTTAACTAGCACCAAAGACAAAAAATAGCTCTGCAGTGTTGTTATGTGTGAATTACTTCAGTCCACTGTTATGTGCAGTGTTATCTTAAAGACCTCAAATTCTATTGTAAACCCGGACAGAGGGAACAAATTACCCGTGTGTGTTCTATACAACTTTCTGTGTACTGTGTTTATTAATAATAATAAAGTCACCGACGGTTTCATTTGGTCACACCGTGCAATAAAAATGCTAACATGACATTTAAAAAGAGAACGGGCAGGTGTAGCACAGGTCTGGTTCATGTCAAGATGACCTGTGATGTTGATTAGGAGGAAAAACGAATTGTATCATTGCCTGCCAATGACGTCATCTACAGTGGTATGACGTCAATAACACGTCATCGATGTTAACAAGCAACCCACTGGCTTACATACCCGTGCTACAACAGCGCCAAAGGAAGGATTATGCTGTAATGACTAATTACAACAAAATAAAACACTCTAAGCTCAGTAATTTGAGAGAGGCACACAACCTACTTGAAACCAACACACATGCAAAAAAAAACAAACAAACCGGAAACAAAAAAAAACAGGAAAAGCATTCTCTAAAGCCAGAAAGAGATACGAAAGAGCTAACATTCAGATTACAACGAGAAGAGGTTTTAAACTGTAAAAGTCACATTGAAAGTTCACAGTAACTCGCAGTTCTACTCATAGTCATGACGTTGGACCGCGCTCACACACTGTGCTACGGAGAATCCGCTTAAACTATTAAATAAGTATTGATTAACCCACCCTGGTTGGGAATGGGAGATAAGTCAACGCGTATCCGTCCTCTTCGGGGATTCCCTGATTCTCCAAAGGCGCAAGGTAATAATGCGGTCTAAGGTAGCGATCAGACTTCGCGGCGACGCGCTGCAACATGCGCAGCGCGCTACAATTGCAACACCGCTCCAGTCCAAAAAAGGGAATACGGCAGCAGACGGGAATCTTTGCGCCGGCTCCGGTCGCTTCTGTTCTGAAAGTATAGGATAACAAGAAGCACGGGGTGCCTTCACACTCTGGGACTCTCCCATTCTTCTATACTCTTCCACAGCACCAGGGCCAGTGCCGATCGATACCAGACTGCATGCTTAGACGTTTACACTCCTATCCTCCCAAAATCTCTCGTAACAGAAACGGCCAGCACCGATCGATTCCCGTCTGCGGCTGCGTTCGCATCTGTAGCAGGAGAGCGCTAAATTGTAGCGCATTACAGCGCGTCAACGCGCGTTACCGCAAAGTCTGAACGCTGCCTCAGATGAGCGATTATACTGAATCAAAGCTTATACATGCACTGGTATGATATAATAACCTCTGAATATAAAAATAGAGAAAAGAAACAACAAAAGGATTTCTTACACAGTCTACTTTTACTCTGAGTACAGATAAAGATCTTGACAAACATTATCAAACAATGAACACCCGATAGCTGTATAAATCCTTCTTCTCTTCCTCTCACTACTTCATACTCGGATAGTTTTGAAGTTGACTGAGCGCTATTTACCCCCCATCACCCCCCGCGATCACACTTCAAAATTCAGGCTGGATTCTCATTGAAATCTGTCTGGGGTGCGGATAGGTAAAAGTTCTGTCCTCACAGGTGGCTTCCTCTCCAGAACACGAATACCACAGAGGTTTCGCGCGAGAAACTTTGACATTGGCTTCAGCACAATCCTTCAATCCTTCTGGGGTTGAGGTTTTCGCGCTAAACCGATTCGTGCTCCGAGTCAAACAATCTCTGGGGACGAAATTTTGACCAATCTACATAAAGATGCAGCCTGAATTTCGAAGAGTGGGGTCGTAATGGGTAATTGGTGCTTGGTGCCAACGGCCAGGCCCACATAGCTCCTCTTACCTCCTCAGTAGATTTTTCGCCATTTATAGCCATTTCTGGACTGCCGAGCACCTGGCAAACGTCAAACTGCAAAGACTTAGAACTATGGGAAACGTCAAAAACAACTGCACTCGACGCAGTCATCATCTGCCGTGGCTCACTGTATTACCCGCTGCTCGCCGAGCATACAGCAGCCGCCACCCATAGGTTGCGGGCGAAATCAGCGAAAATGGACCGAACAAAAGCCATATAAAAAAGGTTGCCATGGAAAACGAACAAAAAAAGTAGAAAACTTTTACCCTCATAATACCCAGGGTATAATCGCACCCCTTAACCATACCCTATACGATTATGGGGAGATATCAATGCGATGGGTGATGATTAGGTTGAAAATATGCAGGGAGAAAAATCGACGAAATCACAACGAGCACATGGTACTTTGGACTTCTTGAAGGATTCACATGAACGGAGCCGTCAGAATTATGAAAGCCTGCTTCGCGATCCATGAATAGATCTGTGAAAAACTATTCTATTAAGAAAGTTGAGCTTTAGACACTAAAAAATCCAACCTGATACTGAACATAGAACGAGGCGAACCAGAACGCATATTGACCGATGATTTTTGCCCACGAGAACACAACACGTTTTCCACGTTCTCCAGCATGGAATTCGCCTGTCTCATAGTATCGTGCTGGAAATAAGGATCATCGACTATACAGTGTAGTTCGCTGTAGACGTTGGGCTTGTCAGGCAGGATGAGTTTGGCGCGGTGCCAAACCCGTTCTCCACCAGTTGTTAAAGCGAGCAAGTGATATGACTGTATCATATCGTTCGTATTACTCGTTTTCTACGACTTTGTGCCACATGCGCGCTTACAAGAAGGCAAAGAACGGCTTTGACGGAGTGACACATACTGCCTGACACGCCCAGCCGTTCGCAGCGAACTAGAGTATAAGGCCGTGCTCATACTCCGACCCCATTCCACTGCTCATCGTAAAACAGCTACTGATTCAATCGCATTCGAGGTTAGCTTCTTCCAAATGTTACAACGGTTCAACAATCAGCGGCGGAGCGCGATCGGTCGCAGCCGTTCGACTTCCACGTTGAGTGCTTGAATCGCTCGACTCGTGAATTATAAACGCGAATGGCCTCGGCCTTTTTTTCATCAGTGCAGGTTTAAAAACGCACCAACTATTCTTTCTTGTTCTAATGGGGCAGGAAATGTACGTATGTACGTCACACGCCCCTAGCGCCCTTGTACACACTTTTCTTACGCAACTCAATTTTCTTGGGACGTACTCTCAAGAAAATGCTCATATCCATTTGCTCAATTATCTGGCAGATGCTGCCCGATCACTTTTTTGCGATTATCAGTAATTTTCAAGAAATCCCACTCACACCTATACATTCCCCGCTCTTTGAACACTCCAACCCGTCCTTTAAAAAATCGATTGTCAACAAAACACCGCGAGCTCATTGCGGCGGCATCCACGTCACCACTTGGGGGGCAAAGGACACGCAGGCGCACTGACCGAAGTTCGAGATTGTGGCGATAAACACTCCGCCCGATCGCTAAACCCATCCAAATCATATCAATACTTTCTTATTTCTCACCACCATCTATCATTATTTTTATTTTATTCATTTCTAATGTTTGCAGGGGCACATGCTGCCTTTAGGAATCAATTTTTCCTATTCATTCACCACCATCACTCTTACCCGACCAATATTTTCACTTGGGACTCATAAGTATTTTTAAACGAGAGAAGAATGACCACTGCTCGACCCTCTAGTGGATCTCACCGAGCCCATTGAATTCAAACGTCAAATAGCAAACCCAGGAGAATCAAGCCAATCAATAGATTTGCTTATCCAAACCGCCGAAAAAAACTTGATCCAAATTGTAAACAGGCCGACGCAGTTTATCTCAAGACGAAAACCGTGGGCTTTAGATTACCTAGAGCTCCCAACAACTGAAACGCTTCTACTTTAGTTTGCTCAAAGAGGACATTTTCATTTTATAAGTCTGCAGAAAGGTTAATCATCCTCCCCGCTTGCATTCCTCCCCACCACATAGCACCGTCGGAGAGCGCTACTGAAGGAATGACGTAAAATCTAACTCAAAGCTTTTCCGGGCTTTAAAGAATGTCCGCATGGATTTGGGGTCAGCGTAGTCCGCACCAAGATATACCACTTCACTTAGCCCTTGGTCGAAAAATAAGTGCTCATTGCAAACTACGCGAGCAACCCGACAGATTATTTGTGTTTGGGCAGTTGCAGTTTTTCCTCCTACTCCCTAAAATGCACATAACATCATGTCTACGCTGTTTCATAAGGCAGAACCGCGATGCATAAAGGATCGCTACAGCGCCAGTGGCAGGACCTGTTCCCAGTAGGCGTTTCGGCACCATTCAAACTATTACTACCCGAGAAGTCAAAAAAATTTTTTTGCTGAAACTTTGCCCTTAGAGATAGTTTGGTGTCCCGATCACGAATATAGCACTCGTTTTCGGCGCTGACGCCAAATTGGCTTCGTGTAAATTTGTGTAGTAAGGATATTTGATGTCCTGATCATGAATACCGAATTAGTCCTCAGCCCTGACGCCATTTGGCGTTGAATTGGCGCTACACCCTTTGTAATCAAAATCGATAAAAACCTGCATAATGAGGTTGTTTTATGCCCTGATCACGAGTATAAGATTTATTTTTCGACGCCAGCGCCATTTAGCGCTTTTTTAAGGCTGAGCCTGGGAGAAAGAGTGATTTCCTTCAGGTCAGGCTCAGCCTTAGCAGAGCGCAGCGTCGTCTTCCATCAGCGCCAGCGCCAAAAATGAATGTGATATTTGTAATCAAGATGTCAAATAACCTCCGTATACAAGTTTTCAGCGGATTTGGTGACCTAGGGTATTTTGGCGCCGGCGCCTGTGGCGCGGGCGCCAGGCGGTTTCAGGCCGAGCGGATGTGATATTCGTGTTCAGGAGGTCAACTACCCCTGGGGACAAGTTTTCAGCGAATTCGGTGATTTAGGTTTTGGCGCCGGCGCCTGTGGCGCGGGCGCCAGGCAGTTTCAGGCCAAGTGGATGTGATATTCGTGTTCAGGAGGTCGAATTACCCCTAGAACTTTCAGCCAAATCTGCCCCCGTAGAAAAAAGTCGATCAAGATCCGGCCTGTTTTCGGAAAATTGGGGTAGTAATAGTTGAATAGTGCCGGCGTTTCATATTTCGGAAAATTGGGGTAGTAATAGTTGAATAGTGCCGAGTCCAAGCGATACTGAATAGATTCGCACTGTACTTCCAACTGCACCGCTACTTCCAACCACTCCATTGTACCTTCTCTTGAGAAATAATCAGCGCGTTGTTGCATCTTTTAAAGATTTATCAACAGATACAGATCGATATTTTTCGGGGAGCACCACTTTCGTTGGTTGGGGCGGGGACGACGCAAAGATGAGCGAAGTCGCATACCACACGCGTGGTCCAGCAGTCAAATCTAGGACCAAACTGCCTCTAAGTAAAAAAACCTCCGACAAGGAGTTCTACGCCAGCTGGCCTATACGGGTATTATATAGGTCAAATCGCTTTCTAAAGCGTTCACGGGTCTGAGAGCAGATGAAGCGTGGCGCAGTACACCTGGCATCTGGGGATGGTCGTCTATAGTGAAGTAAAAGAAAGCATAGGCATTCTGTTGGCGCATTCTTATAGCAACAAAACAATTGTACCAACTTCTAAAGTCCTCTTGTGAACGGAAATGAGGTTTTTTTTGGGGACGACCGATATAGATCCGCCACGCATATCCTTCCTTGAGCTACAGAGGTGACTCAAAGAACAGTAAACAGCCCCTGAAATGCTTACAAGAGCAATGACTGTTCAAGCTGACGTTCAATTCACATTCTAAACCCCCCACCCCCCACCCTCAAAAAAGGAATAGAAGCTTTCTTGGCCTACGCGTATGCGATCCAGCTAAAAGGTAAGGAAACGCCTTTCCACACTGAAGATAATTCATCTCCACCTCATCCACCTATATTCAGAAATGAAAAAAGACTGTCAGCGACCCCT